TGATACTTAAATATATAATTAAGTGTACTTTCGCCTCATTAGGTGCGGCGCAGGCCCAGGCTATCAATGGTCTTGGCTATCGCCAAATCATTTATTTCGGCAACCTCGGGCTCATTGTTGTTGTTGTTGTTGGTGTTGGTGTTGCCATTGGCAGTGCCATTGGCTGCGCCTGTTACCCCGTTGCCGCCTCCAGCAAATGTATCGGAGAATATGTGAGCCAGAGCCACATAATGGCCATAGCTGCCAGCTGGAGCTGAAGCTGAGCTGCTATGGCTAGCCTGCTGCTGCTCTGACTTCTGCTGCTGCTCCAACTTCTGCTGTTGCTGCTGCTGCTCTGGTTGCTCCATGCGTGGACGGCGCAGGGGTGGCGGCTGCACTTCCTCTTGTGTTCCAGCCACTGGCTCTGGGCAGGCGCTGCTCTCGCTGGCGCTGGCATTGGACGCATACAGGCCGTGGCGAGCAATGGCAGCGTCTATGGCATTGCGCTCGATGTCGAAGGCGGGCGCTCGAGAGATCGCCTCGGTGCGATAATGTCGCACAATTTCCAGATTGTGATTCACATAATTCTCACGCTGAGCCTCGCTTAGCACCGCTGTATGCCATTCCTGTAGCTGCTCATCGGTCATATTATTGACTATACACATATTATATATACATTTGTATAATATATATACAATATACACACAAATGACCATGAAGAGCGGGCGAGGGAGATAGAGTAAGATGGGGAGGGAGAGAGAGAGAAAACAAACAAATATGTGTATCATATGAAAAGGCGCTCGAGCATATGTTTCATTTGATCCAAATCGTTGACAATCCATTGCCAATGCTTACAATTACTGCTAGCACTCGTCCCTCGCCGCAAAATCAAGTTCTCCATTTCGATAATTCACGAATTGAACAATTGTAAATACACTTTTTACTTAGCCTACGAACGTCTCTATTGCATACACAAATGCATTAGTGATGCGCGTTGGCAATGTGTGAGAGTATGGGCCAAATATCGATAACAGCGCGATTCATATAGTTCTGCTTGATTTTGATTTCGATAGATTGCGCGCCAAACAAAGCTTTCAAAATGCATGTTGAATTTTTTGTTGGAATTATATGAAACGTTTTTAATAAAAATGTAAGCATCTCAAATTTATTTAAGAACATACACAAATTGAAAAGGCTTCAAATTATTATTTTCAAGACAAAAGTTAATACAAGAAAAATAATAATAAGAAATTAATACTATACTAATAATCAAATT